TGTACATACAGGGACTAAACTTCCCCAACTTTCCCAGAAGTGACAAAATTTGACTTCTCCCTACAATTTCCACACTATTTCCAGCAAGCAGTTGATGAGAATACTCAAACTTATCAGTTAGAAGTTGTTATCTTGATCTTTCACCAAATTCTCGCAACTAATTTACAAGGAATTGTGTAGCAGCAAGAGCGGAGAATTAACAATCAGATCTTGGGAGTTAAAGGGCTAACGCTTCAATGAAAGCGTTTCTTCGCCCGCAAGCAAGTTTGAGGCCTTATGCAACGCTGGAAGGCGAGAACTCTGCAATTGGTCGGCCCAGATCCCTCACAGACCTCTCACCGGCAGTCGAAGCGCCTACAATGAGCGCCAGTTCGCACACCAGGTGTTCTTACCCATGTTTTTCACGCAGTTCCTCTTCTTTGGCTTTTTTTAACCGCTGAAGATTTTCCCACCTTCAAGAAAAACACAAAGGGATACATAAGACCATGAGCTTAACTTGATAAGAACTCCCAGTCCTTAAAAAACAACAATCAAACCATGTTTCTACAAGAGGAGGTTAGAGCAATTTTTTAATTGGGTGTCGGAAAAACCAAAACCAAGATTATCACAACGATCAGTCAGTCATCACAAGCCATCTGAATGGTTGAGAAGGTGGCACGAGTTTTTAAACCAATCACCAAGCGAAGAAGCAATCCCAGATTACCTTCAACACTAAATAAAAAAATTGTTCTTATTTAACTCTTACATGTCGTTTATGTCCTTCCTCCTTTTCTTCACTGCAGCCGAATGCCTGTGATCCGTGTCTATCAGCTGATCTGCTAACGAGTTTATCTCAGCTATACGGTTGCTGTTAGCTGTTAGCTCTGTCGTGAGACCCTGTGTACACAGTTTAAAAGGCAAACAGGCTTTACAACTTTCTCTCATTTTTTCCCCTGATGTAGGCACTGGTGCAATAGATGTGATTTTAACACGTCACGGAACAGGTGCGTTTGCTACTGTGAAAAGACACGAATCTTCTCTATAACTCCTTCACTCCTGTAACTCAATATCGACTCTCCTCAATTTCTGCTATACATTTCTCTTTCGGAACCGGTCATTATTTTTCGTCTGTGGAGGGAGAGGGGATAAGAATGTTTTTTCGGGCGGGATCACATAATTGTCAGGGGTAATGGCGGGGGAATCAATCGTCGCGAACATAGTAGAAGGGGACGGCTATGAGAAGTGACTGCCAATGAGGGAGATCGTTAGAATACTACAGGCCTCATTGGGGATCGGGTAAATTTTATTGCGACAGCCAA